CAATGAAACCTGTTCACTGCAGCAGCAGTCTCCCCCTCCTCCAGTTTGAACAGAAACATGTGTGCAGACAGACTTAAATTACACTTAAGAAGCTGGGAGTGGAGCAGAACTGCTCTGTGTTGTTGTTAGAGGCTCCAGGTGCTTGGAGGTTTCTAGTGATGCACTGAGGCTTGGTTCCACAGCTGCATACAGTGCAACAGAGAAACATCACAGCACAAGAAGAACAGCTTTATCATTTGTAACATTCGTTTTCCCATTCCAGGTCCCGATGACAGGAAACCCACAGAGTTTCTGCTTGTCAACGGGCAGAAATATGCAGTTGTTGGGTAGGTGAAATCACATATTTCATGATTTTAAATATTACTCTGTCCTCACATTGAAAACAACTGTCATTAAAGGTGGAAGTTAGACGGCGCAAATGCTTTTTAAATGTGAACATTTAATTTTAAAAGATTTCCTGAGTAGCCTTTGTGTTCCTTCAGGACGGTTCTGCTGCTGATCCGGATCTTTTTAGAATACTGCCAGTGTGTCAATGACATCCCATCCATCTCTACAGACATGCTGACGCGTCTGGCAGACCTCCTCAAGGTCAGAGACTCAACAGCACTCAAATCACACGATCCTACGTTAGTTCAGCCTCTTGTAGTTAGTAAACAGGAAAAGACTTTTTGATCACAACACTGAAATGTTTACATCTGACACAGCCCTGACATGCTGGTATGCTAGCCTGGTGGTGTTTACTGAATTTTCTTGGATTGTCTTCCTGCAGCACTTCAACTCTCGGAGCTGCCAGCTGGTTCTGGGAGCCGGAGCTTTGCAGATCGTCGGCCTCAAGACCATCACCACCAAAAACCTCGGTATATAACACCTGCTACACACACTGCTTACAAGTAGACCTGTTTTTTCAGCATGTGAAGCAACTTTTAATGGTTGAGAATGCTGATTTCTACTGTTAACTGTGTGTTGTAGCATTAGCTTCCCGCTGTCTGCAGCTGGTGGTTCACTACATTCCCATCATCAGAGCTCATTTTGAGACCAAACTGCAGCCCAAACAATTCAGTGTTCTCAGACACTTTGATCACATCACCAAGGTAACGCTCAGCATGAGCACTTTAAGTGTGGCCTCTCGACTTCCTGGCTAAATAAAAGTTTGAGAGAAGAGTTAAAAAAAAATAAAATGTCATGACAAAATCTCCAAAGATTTCAGCTCGATGTGAGTTGTGTTGCTGAGGCTGTTTGTTGTGTTGCAGGACTACAACAATCACATAGCAGAGATCTCTGCTAAGCTGGTGGCCATCATGGACAGTCTGTTTGAGAAGGTTCTGTCAAAGGTAAGATGAGGGCAGGGAACACGAGAACACTTCATGAATGGTTTTAAATTTTATGCAAGCATAAAAATAATCTCTATTTACAGAAGACTTTCAGTTGTAATGAGATTCAGGCAGTTGCCCATCTGTGACCTGTGTAGGCCTAATATTTCCACAGTTAGTCAGTTTTTTACTTTAATAATAGTATTGAATTAATGTAGACTTAATAGAATCATTGCTATTAGATAATAGAACAAACAAATAACCAATAATCTAAAACAGCGGTCCCCAACCCCCGGGCCTCGGACCGGTACCGGTCCGTGAGTCGTTTGGTACCGGGCCGCGAGAGTTGAGGCTCAGGTGTGAAATGTATAGTTTTCAGGGTTTTTAATTGGTTTTCAGCGTTATTTTGTTATCGTTTTTATCGTTTCCTTGGTCTTTTCACGTATGTTATGAATAAATTTCTTTTTTCAGTACCGGTACTAGTTTTATTTTGTTGTGTTTATCCGCGACACCTTAAAGGCCGGTCCATGAAAATATTGTCGGGCATAAACCGGTCCGTGGCGCAAAAAAGGTTGGAGACCGCTGATCTAACCTACTAAATTATACTTGCACTGTATACCTGATGGTCAGGTATCCATTTCTGTCCTTTATTAGTACAGAAGTTATGACTTTTTGACCTGTGTAATGCACTTTCTCAGAATATTTCAGCTCTGTGTATTTTAAATTGTTTCCCACTTGATGCAGCTGTATTCCAAATGTGCGCAGACTCACATGACCTCAGCCGTATCCTTTTCTGTCCTCAGTATGAAGTGAAGGCTCCGATGCCCTCAGCCTGCTTCAGAAACATCTGTAAGCAGATGGCAAAGATGCACGAAGCCATTTATGAACTTTTACCTGAAGAACAGACACAGGTGAGATCTTTGTTTCCTCTACACCGTGTCTGTGACAGCTTGTTGATCAGAGACCTGAGAGTTGTGTATCCATATACAGATGCTGTTTCTGAGGATCAATGCCAGTTTCAAAATGCATCTGAAGAGGCAGCTGGCTCGGCTTGGAGTTATTAATGATGGAGGACCGCAGCATGGGTAAGTGTGCAGCACTGCCCTGAAAACCAGCTAATGATTGGAGTATGTTGATATGACAGAGCAGCACTTCCTGCTTCGCTCTGAAGAGAAGTAGCACCTCTTTTCCTGTTGGTGTTCCCTGTTGTTTCACATTTTATTGAAAGAGAATTTTGAAGATTACATGAATACTTGATGTGTCTTTATATCTGCTATATTAAGGTACAAGAATTGTACTTAACAAACCTGACACACAAATTTAGAGTTCCACTTCTGTGAGTTAGTTTTGGAATTAACGGAGGTGATAGGTGTGTGTCAGTGACAGCTGCCACGGTTCAATTCAATTCAATTTTATTTATATAGCGCCAAATCACAACAAAAGTCGCCTCAAGGCGCTTCATAGATACAGAGAAAAACCCAACAATCATATGACCCCCTATGAGCAAGCACTTTGGTGACAGTGGGAAGGAAAAACTCCCTTTTAACAGGAAGAAACCTCCGACAGAACCAGGCTCAGGGAGGGGCGGGGCCATCTGCTGCGACCGGTTGGGGTGAGAGAAGGAAGACAGGATAAAGACATGCTGTGGAAGAGAGACAGAGGTTAATAACAGATATGATTCAATGCAGAGAGGTCTATTAACACATAGTGAGTGAGAAAGGTGACTGGAAAGGAAAAACTCAATGCATCATGGGAATCCCCCGGCAGCCTACGTCTATTGCAGCATAACTAAGGGAGGATTCAGGGTCACCTGGTCCAGCCCTAACTATATGCTTTAGCAAAAAGGAAAGTTTGAAGCCTAATCTTAAAAGTAGAGATAGTGTCTGTCTCCTGAATCCAAACTGGAAGCTGGTTCCACAGAAGAGGGGCCTGAAAACTGAAGGCTCTGCCTCCCATTGTACTTTTAAATACTCTAGGAACAACAAGTAGGCCTGCAGAGCGAGAGCGAAGTGCTCTAATAGGGTGATATGGTACTACAAGGTCATTAAGATAAGATGGGGCCTGATTATTTAAGACCTTGTATGTGAGGAGCAGGATTTTGAATTCAATTCTGGATTTAACAGGAAGCCAATGAAGGGAAGCCAAAACAGGAGAAATATGCTCTCTCTTTCTAGTCCCTGTCAGGACTCTTGCTGCAGCATTTTGGATTAACTGAAGGCTTTTCAGAGAGTTTTTTGGACATCCTGGTGCCAATTTTAAAAGAATATTCTCATATGTGGCTCTCATTTTTCTTAAAAACAAAAATAAGGTAAAAAATAAATCTGATAATTCTTTGTTTTTACGTTCATCGGGCCCCAATGTGACCAAATATCAAAGAGAAATTAAAAATGCATGCTGTGGAAGAGTTCGGGTCTTAGGAGGTTATAAACTGCTTTTTGTCAGAGCATAGCTGTTCATATCTTTCATGTCTTTGACACTTTCAAAGCTGTAAGCTGTGGCTCGTGTTTGCAGGCTGGTGGTGGTAGACGTGGCGTTCTACACCGAGAACATCCAGGGGCTGAAGAGCCTCGAGAGGCTCGACCTGAACATGGTTGAGGTCTGGGAGCAGAAGAGGTGATGGAGGATGGAATCCGGATCTCCAGAACTGACCTTACCTCAGCAGTTATGGGAGCCTGACCCCCGGGGGCCGATGGTGGGCCGGCTGAGGCTGGAAGAGGCCCAAAGGGACCAAAAATGCAAGTATGGGAGAAGAGCAGCAGCATACCGGTGCTTCAGAGACTGTTCAGAAACGCACAGCGCCTGGTGAAAAACTGTTGCCACCTCATCGCAGTGTGTGCAATTCAATAGAAAATAAAGAAGTAAATTATTACTGTTTTAGTGGGAGGGCAGGATGTGGATTATTCTTATGAAATTTGGGGGTAATTTATTTTTCTTTCTCTGGAAACATTCTATACTGTGTTAAGCTTTTTCCTCCAGCGGTCTGCAATGCTGGAGCTGACAGGATTTTTATCAACACCGCATGCTCGGCAGGTTACCCTTTTGCATACTTGGAGAGCTTGGGTCGTTCTTATCGCTTAAAAAATCAACAGGGTTCCTGTTCATGTTAACACTATTCCAATCCTCTTTGATCAGCTGCTTTTGGGTCTATTTGCTTACTTTTTTGTACTCCAAAAAATAATAATAACAGTAGCTGAGAGAAAGGTTTAATTTCAGTATGTGGACATAGTGACAAGATTCACTTCAAAAGGTTTAACTTCCACATTAAAACAGTTTGGTCTTGCAGTTTCTTCAGCTCAGTCACATCCTGGTCATTGTGATGACTGACGGTGGTGCAGAACTCGCTGAACTGATGCAGAGAGTTTGCAGGATGTGAAGCGTGAATATCAGCTGTTAACTTTAGCATCTTCCAGTCTGTGTGAGCTGTTAGTTTTCTGCGAAGATGGAAGAGAAAATCTGATTAAACCTTTCATCCAGAATATCTTCTGATGCTGCAATATTGTATCACAACTCCCCACAGGGGTAAAAGTAACAAGTGCTTACAGCTCTCCCCTCCTTCTGCTAGCGGAGTTTTCTTCATGACATCAGATTTGATCAGATTTTCTCTTCCTGACTGTTCGGCTACCGAGAGCTCCCGTCACACGAAGCAAACGACCTGTCCAGATGCAGTCACAGATCAGTCTCTGCAGCAGTGAGAACACTACAGGCTGACAGGCTGCTGTTTGGAACCATTCCACTCCCAAATGCAAATATTCATCTACTCCTCTGGTCTGTGTGATGGCTTTTGTAAGCAGCTTGTTTCCAAGATAAATCTCCTGGTATGAAACTAATGAGCTGGCATTGCAATAATTTGCTCTTCTGAAACGATTGATTAATCTAACATGTGCAGCCATAGTCATTCTTAACTCCCACACTAATCAAAGGCATAAATGGTGTACATATGGTGACAAGCACAGTTGGATTAATGTGATGTGACTGCAGCGGTCAGCGTCAGGCTCGCCAGAGAACAGAAGCATTAACGATCATCACTGTCTGCTTCAGAAGTGCCTACTTTGGATCGACTATCAGAGACGACACATCTGAGCTCTCCACTACAGTGTGCCTACCATACCACTGTGTGTGTGTGTGTGTGTGTGAGTGAGAGAGACTTTTTGGGGTTTTGATGAGCATGTGTGTATGAGTCCAAATGAATTTGTTTCCTTCAAACCTGCTGTGAATAAAACAGGATGATGGAGCGACCTATTGTCAGTCTGTTCATCTGTTGCACATTGTCATCTTCAGAGCTAGCATACTTCCTGTCTGAGCCTCACAAAACATGTTAAGGCAAATGTAAGAGCGTTATTATTTCCAGTTAGCCAATGTTACTACATAGGTCTATTCTGCACAGTTCTAGCTGTATTCGTTTTCTTAAAACTCACATCAAACACTTCCTGTGAGATCTTTGGCATGAAACCACTTAAGTTTTTTAAAAATTTGATTTTCGACCCTTTCTATCACTTTCCAAATCGATATGAAAGATTTTACATGAAGTATTTGATTGAACCGGAGTTACTGAAGTAAGGATAGAGAACACTTAAAAGAGATTGTTTGACATTGCTGGATGTACTAGATCTTTCTCACATTGGCTTTTTGGATCATGCATCGCTTGCTTTCTCTGAAGTAAGCTTTAAGTTCCTCTAGACAGTGAGAATGACAATGGCTAAAAAGAGACATGAAAGGTTTGTCATATCTGTGGTTGATGGAACAGCCAAAACCTTTACAAGGATATTACTTGAAATATTACTATTACTTTATAACTAAATAAAAACAGCATCAAGAACTCCTACCAATGAGCTAGAACAGCCTAAACGACAGCACAAAACTAGTCGTGGCAGCACAAGGACCAGAGGCAGGGG